TATAAAAATTAGCTGTGTGTGGTGGTGCCTGCCTGTAGTCCTAGCTACTCGGGAGACTGAGGCAGGAGAATCACTTGAACCCAGGAGATAGAGGTTGCAGTGAGCAAAGATCATGCCACTGCACTCCAGCCTTGGCAAGAGTGAGAGTCCATCTCAAAAAAGAAAAAAGAAATTTTAGCCTGAGGGCAGAAAGATGATGGGCTGAAGTCGTTCTTTTCAGCACAATTGGATCCAGTGGCAATTAGGAAATAACTTTTTGCTAAAAACAAGTAGTCTAGGGGTTACAAGACTGAACCCTGCATTCAGATGCAGGCATTGTCACTTATAAGCTGTGGAATGGGACAAGCCATTGAGTCTCTCTGTGCCCCAGTCTTCACAGCTGCGAGATGAGCCTAAGGAAAGCACCTGCTTCGTGAAGTTGATAAGAGGATTTAAAAAGCCAATACATGTAAATGGACACTTAGTAAGCTCTGTAATGGTTAGCATTAATGAAAGAAAGAGAGAAAGAGGCTGGAGGAGGGAAGACAGGGAGAGAGAGGGAGGAACGGAGGGAGAGAGAGAGAGAGAGAGAGAGAGAAAGCAAGCTTAGATGATCATCAAAAGAAGAAAAATGGTGGTTGGGCACGGTGGTTCACACCTGTAATCCCAGCACTTCGGGAGACCACGGTGGGTGGATCACCTGAGGTCAGGAGTTTAAAATCGGCCTGGCCAACATGGTGAAAACCCATCTCTACTAAAAATACAAAAATTAGCCAGGCGTGGTGGCACATGCCTATAATCCCTGCTACTTGGGAGGCTGAGGCAGGAGAATTGCTTGAACCTGGGAGGCAAAGATTGCAGAGAGTGGCGATCACACCATTGCACTCCAGCCTGGGCAACAGAGTGAGACTCTGTCTCAGAAAACTAATATAAAATAAATGACGGTCATCCCATGGGTTGCTCTGCAGCACAGAAAAAGAAAGCAATGCACATGTGTGGACTTGCTCACTATATAGATAACTTTACTGTTCAGTGAGGGAAGCACGCTACAGAGCAATAGATGGAACATAGTGTCGTTTTCATTTTTAAAATACATGATGTGGGCTGGGCGGGGTGACTCATGCCTGTAATCCCAGCACTTTGGGAAGCGGAGGCAGGAGGATCACTTAAGGCCAGGAGTTCAAGACCAGCCTGGACAATATAGTGTGACCCTGTCTCTACAAAAAAAATTATATATATATATATTTTTTAATGGTGTGTGTGCATGTGTGATTGGCCATGCATGTTTGTGCATTAAAGAAGGGCCAGGAAGCTCACTCTCCAGAGTGTAGACCAGCAGTCCCCAACCTTGGCACCAGAGACCACTTTCGTGGAAGACAATTTTTCCATGAGCCAGGGGTGGCGTGGGGATGGTTTCGGGATGCTTCAAGCACATTACATTTATTATAAACCTCATTTCTGTTACTAGTGCATTGTAATATATAATGAAATAATTATGCAACTCGCCATAATGTAGAACCAGTGGGAGCCCTGAGCTTGTTTTCCAGCAACTAGACAGTCCCATCTGGGGGTGATGGGAGATAGTGACAGATCATCAGGCATTAGATTCTCAGAAGGAGCACAAAACCTAGATCCCTCACTCACACAATTCACAGTAGGTTTCGTTCTCACTGCTACGGCTGATGTGACAGGAGGTGGAGCTCAGGCGGTGATGCAAGCGATGGGAGCGGCTGTCATTACAGATGCTGCTTTTCTCACTCCCTGCATGCGATTGGTGGGAGCGGCTGTCAGTACAGATGCAGCTTTGCTCACTCCCCTGACACTCACCTCCTACAGTGCAGCTCAGTTCCCAACAGGCCAGTGCCTGATACCTGTCTGTGGCCGGGGAGTGGGGGACCCTGGGGTAGACAGCAGGACCCTCTGGAGAAGGGAGGACCTGCACATCTTAAGCACTTTTGTACTGTATGACTTTGGCTATAGTAAATATGTGTTTCTTTTCTAACTAAAAAAAATCCAACATTAACAAATGGAGACGATAGCGCTTCCATCTCAGGACTGCTTCCAGGGTTAAATGGGATAGCGGGGAAGGCTCTTGGTGAGTGATTGATAAAGCTTAGCAAGTGGTAGTTCCTTTTCCTTAAAAAATAATGTAGCAAGTGGTTTGTGATACTGATTGAGAGTTTTGCCCTGTAGAGAATCAAATTTTATATTAGTGTAGATTTTTAAATGTTTCGGTGTTTCTGTCGGAAACTTACTACTGGCTGGGGGGGTCTTGGGTGAATCCCTTCACCTCTCTGAGCCTCTGTGTCTGCTGTAAAACAGAGGTACTAATGCCTGCCCTCAGGGCGCCTGTGATATAGTAAGAATATCATTTAAAACCTCCAAAACACCTAGCCCCATGCCTGACACATAGTAGACGCTCAACAAACACCCACATCCTCTGTGTGCTTTCCTTTGGACGGGAAGAAGCTTCTCCTGGGTGAAGCAGTGAATTGGGCGGGATATGGAGAAGCAGAGATGCATGAGACCCTTGAATCCCATGTCGTGGAGGAAGAAGAGGTCCATGGTGTGGCCTTGAAGGGTGTATAGAGTGTAAGTGGACATAGATGGTAAGGATGAGGGGCTGTTACCTCTATGCATAAGCTCAGAGATGGGAAGGGGTGGGCACAGATGGACTGAGGGCCTCTGCTGGCCACCATGATACACACAGACATAGAGAGACCATCAGAAACCCTGCTGACAAGCCACCAGGTAACTGAAGTAAACTGAGGCAACTTGGGATGAACATTGCCCCCCTTCAGAATTAGAGCTGGGGTTAGCGGTGGCGGTGCAGGGCCTGAGAGGGGAGTGGAGCACAGAGGGCCCATCCAGTCTGGCTATCAGAAGACCTCAGGTTCCAGCAGAATCACACAATGACAGAAGATGCCAACAGCAGCTGGCTGGCCCCCAGCCCATTTGACAGTGGAGAAGCACAGGCCACCCCCAGGACCTCAGAAAAGGACCCAGAACCTGTGCCACAGCCTGCTCCATCCTACTCTTCCGTAAACACAAATGTCCCAGCTCCATCAAAGCGCTTCCCAAGAGACCATGGGGGCACCTGGGAGGCCACAGAAGCTGACTTCGCTGGGCAGAGGTGCCCCAGCTGGGGTCCGCCCATCCCAGGTGGTCTCTCTGTTGCTGTGCCTCCAGTTCAGCTCCTGAGTTTGGGTCCATTCAGCAAATAGCCTTGGAGCCTCGTGGTGAGTGCTAAGCACAGCGGGGCTTTGGAGACCCAGAAGGCAGCACCCACCCATTCCAGGAGCTCCCAGGGCTCACAGCCTCATGTCACCAGGAAAATGAGATGCAGACAGTAAAGCCACAAAGACCTCAGGGAGGAGGTGGCTCTGGCTGAAGCCATGGTGGGAGGCTCAGCAGATGATGGACGATGGAACTTCAGTGACTGGCATCAGGATTTGGGGAGAACGTGGACAAAGTGTGAGTGAGGGAGGGTGGAACAGGTTGGGAAGAAAATAGTGGTGGCTGCCAGACCTTGATAACCACTGCTGGCTGCCCTGTCTTCACAGAGGAAGAAACGGGCTCAGAGAACTGGTAGGTGGGATAATGAGGAAAGAGTGGGAGACATGGCTGGAAAGGGGGTCGCCCGGCCTTAAACACTAGGATGAAACATAGAATCGGGACTACCCATCCTAGGGCCCCGGCAGCACCACACGCCCCTTCCTGACCCTGTGAAACAGCCCTGGGCCGGAATTCAGAAGCCCTAGACTCAGTACACAGTTCCTTCAGCTACCCTGTGGCCTGGCCATCCCTTTTCCTCTCCAGGCCCCAGTTTCCCCATCGGTCTGAATTCCTTCTGCAAGATCTCTGGAGGGAGCCCTGAGCAGTTCCCCATGGTGACCAAAGCCATCAGATGGGGCTGCCTGACTATGCGTTTATTTGCTGGGAGATGCTGGACTACGCTCATCAGGGGCTGGCTGACTGTGCGTTTTCTGGGAGATGCCTGACTGTGTGTTTGTCGGGGGCTGCCTGACTGCGTTTGCTGGGAGATGCCTGACTGTGTTTGCTGGGAGATGCCTGACTGTGTGTTTGTCGGGGGCTGGCTGGCTGTGTGTTTCCTGGGAGATGCCTGACTGTGTGTTTGTCGGGGGCTGGCTGACTGTGCGTTTGCTGGGAGATGCCTGACTGTGTGTTTGTCGGGGGCTGCCTGACTGTGCGTTTGCTGGGAGATGCCTGACTGTGTGTTTGTCGGGGGCTGGCTGACTGTGCGTTTGCTGGGAGATGCCTGACTGTGTGTTTGTCGGGGGCTGGCTGGCTGTGTGTTTCCTGGGAGATGCCTGACTGTGTGTTTGTCGGGGGCTGCCTGACTGTGCGTTTGCTGGGAGATGCCTGACTGTGTGTTTGTCGGGGGCTGCCTGACTGTGTGTTTGCTGGGAGATGCCTGACTGTGTGTTTGTTGGGAGCTGCCTGACTGTGTGTTTGCTGGGAGATGCCTGACTGTGTGTTTGTTGGGGGCTGCCTGACTGTGTGTTTGCTGGGAGATGCCTGACTGTGTGTTTGTCGGGGGCTGCCTGACTGTGTGTTTGTTGGGGGCTGCCTGTGTGTTTGTCGGGGGCTGCCTGACTGTGCATTTACTGGGCGATGCTGACTATGCGCTCACTGCACATCTCAGTGTGCAGCAGAAAGAGTAAGAGGGTGGGAAGGGGTGGGCCACTCACTCTACCCTAAGAATGCCTTTAGAGGAACTGGCCCAGGCTCAGCAGGCCAGGATAACCAAGGAAAAGCAATGACCCTGCTTCCCACTCCTGAGGAGGGTCTCCACCTCTTTGGATCCCTGGTGCTGGCTTGGGACCTAGAGTTAACTGGATGCTCCCTCTGCCTCAGCGTCTGTCCTTCAGCTCCAGGGAAGCTTCTAGGCTGTAATGAAGACCCCAGCAGCCAGCGGGGATGCCAGGCTCTTCCTTTGTGGAGGCTGGGAATGGATGCAGTGGCCCCAGACTTGACCTCCGCCCCTCGTGTCTTCACAGAGACTTACTGCCCTTCACGCTGCGGCTGCCCCAGGCCATCCTTGAGGCCAGCAGCTACACGGACCTTGAGACCATCGCCAACCTGGGTCTGGGTGAGTCCTCTCCAAGGGGCCGGGGGAGCTGGTGGGGCCTTAGGACCTGAGGCCCTAGGACCACCCCAGGGGCTGCCTGTGCAGAAGGACAGCCTGAGTCACAGCTCTCACGGGACACCCACAACCCTGCCTCAGGCTCCCAAGCCACGTGGTAGGGAGATTGTTCAGTTTCCAAAACACTGCCTCTATCAGCTGCCCAGGACACCCTGAGGCACAGCCATGTTTGGTCTGAGGGAGCAGGGCCTGGTCAGGACCAGAGAGATTGGTGTGGTCCTGGGAGAAAGCGAAGCTCAACCCCAGGGCCCTTCTGAGTGGGGACCAAAGAGCTGGGGCCGGCAGCCACCACAGCCCTTGCCCCTCATCAAATGAAAAAGCAGCACCAATGTGTGACCATGAACTTGGGTGTGGCCCTCGCTGGGGCCTGTCTTGTGCGGAGACAACTGACCCTAAGTACACCCCACCCCACCCTTCTAAGCTCCTGAGGGGTGAAGAGGGGAGAGGAAAAGAAGGGGAGGCAGGGCCCAGTGTGTCTGATCCCAGCCCTTTCACAGAATTCTACGAAGGACTCACTTTAGTGGGCTCCTCCATGTACAGGCTGTGCTGAGCGTCCTGCAAGGATGCCATCTGCAGGTGCCCCCTAGAACTAGGGCCTCACCTCACTGGCCCTCAAGAAGCCCAAGCATGCCATGTCTGGAACTGCCGAGAAACCGGGCCACCTGCCTCTCTCAGCGTGTGTTGGGAGCAGAGAATTTTTTTTTCTTTTTTTTTGAAACAGGTTATTGCCCAGCTTGGAGTACAGTGGCATGATCATGGCTCACCCCAGCCCCAGCTTCCCAGGCTCAGGTGATCCTCCCACCTCTGCCTCCTGAATAACTGGGACTATAGGCATATGCCACCATGCCTGGTTAATTTCTTATATTTTATAGAGACACAGTCTCTCTGTGTTGTCCAGGCTGGTCTCAAACCCCTGGCCTCAAGCAATCCTCCCACCTTGGCCTCCCAAAGTGCTAGAATTATAGGCATGAGCCACTGTGCCCAGCCCTGATAATTTTCCAGGGAAAGAGAGAGCATGTTTCACACAGCTGCTCAGGAGCCGCTGCAGGCCCCAGAGCCTCATAACCTGGGGCCGCCAGGTCACGTTTAAGAGCAGAGCAGTTCATCAGCAAGTCTTTAGCAAAATTCAGCCATACATAGAACACTGTGCTCCATGGGGCTGAGCACAGTGCCCAGAACATGGGTGCCCTGTTCACCAGTATTGGTGGAATGGAAGAAACGGTGACCCAGAGGGCAGAACCAGGTCACAGAGGAAGTGAGGGCAGTGAGACCTGGGATGAAAGACTACACCCCTTGGTTCCCAAGCCAGGCCACTGTTCACCACTCAGAGGGGTCCATCAGGGGCAGCAATGCAAGAGACACCAAAAGGCAGTCGTGGTCAGGGGCCAGGAAATAGGAGGGTTCTGGTCCTTGGATGTTAGTGTTCTGTGAGCATGGACTGCATTCTAACCTCTTTAGCTACATTGGCTCATCGCAGCTTCAAACAGTCCTATAAAGCAAGTACTATTATTGTAATTCCCCTTCTATGGCAGGGGAAACTGAGGCACAAGAGGTTAAGTCATGTCCAATGTCATCCCAGGCACATGGCAGGGCTGGGATGAACCCAGGCCACTTAGCTCCTGCACCTACCACCGTTTCATGGTGCCCCTTAACTCTTTCTCCAAATTCTTCTAGGTCTCATTTGCCCAGTTGTAAAACCAAGGGCCAGTTTTCAGTTGCTATTGGAATAAACTTGCTATTAAACTTTGCTTCCCAGAATTTTAGTTTTTGGGCTCTTACCCTCCCTCCCAGGACCTCGGATGTGGGACAGATGACAGTTCGTAATTTACACTTTTGTAAGGTGCAAATGACCTCCCCTAGGAGTTGGATGACACCGACTGTTGCAGAGTGCTTGGCATTGTCTTATGTCATTTTTGTGCATTTTAAAGATAGAACACTGGCCGGGCGTGGTGGCCCATGCCTATAATCCCAGCACTTTGGGAGGCTGAGGCGGATGGATCACCTGAACTTGGGAGTTCGAGACCAGCCTGGCTAGTACAGTGAAACCTCGTCTTTACTAAAAATATAAAAATTAGCCGGGCTTGGTGGCATGTGCCTATACTCCTAGCTTCTCCAGAGGCTGAGGCAGGAGAATTGCTTGAACCTGGGAGGCGGAGGTTGCAATGAGATGAGATTGCCCCACTGTACTGCGCCTCGGCGACAGACTGAGACTCTACCTCAAAAAAAAAAAAAAACACAAGTTTTAGCCCAGCTGGGAACCTTGTGCAAAGTGCCCCAGATAAGAATTGCACCAAAGGCTTTCTGTCCTCAGCGGTTCCTGAGCAACTGTGTGAAACATGCTCTCCTTTTCCCTATAAGGAATCCTCAGGGCCAGGGGCGGTGGCTTACACCAGTAAAGTGCCCCAGACAGGACTTGCACCAAGGGCTTTCTGCCTCTGAGCACAGCCTTTCCACTGCTCCTCGGCTGTGCCTCCTCACCTTCTCTGTTGTTTTTGCAGCGATCAGTCAGTGGCCAGTTCGCAGGCCACATTGGTAGAGCAAGTGAGATGCATGGCCTCGGTCTCTGTCACATTGCTGTACCTCTTGACCCCACTATGGGGCTTAGGCAGGCATCCCTAGGACTGACTGCCAAGGACTCCCTGCTGGTTCCTCTTACCTGCAAGAGTGCAGCTTCTCCTAAGACCTAGAAACGTGCTTTTTTTGAAGGGAGATGTTCATCCTGTGAGAACTGCATTCCTTTCTGGAATAGACAAGGCCTTCTCTCCTGGGAGAATTTGATCTCAGCACAAGGAGGAAGTGGAGAGGGAGGTTTCCACTTGGGAAGCTGACAGCACGTCACTTTCATCTGTCAGCACCTACCTCCTTGAGAACAGGATTTAAGTGTAAGCTGAGTATTTGCAGCTTAAGGAGCTGAAGGGTTCTGAGCAGACCTGGTGTCCCCAGAGACACAATGTCAGTCATTTTTCCAGCCAAGCAAAATTTCACTTTTCAGTCATCTCCTGAACGACTGGACACCCAGAGCAGAAGGAGCCATCCTATCAAGGCCAGAGACTTTGGCCCTGGCATGGGCAGGCTTGAGCCCTGCCAACCTTCATGTGAAAAAGTGATAATAAATATGCAAAGAGCGGCATTTGTCAAGGGCCCTGACATACCAGGCATTGTGTCTGGCATGTCACACATTGTTCTAGGAAGGGACTTTGGTGGCAAAGAAGTGAAACCCACTCAAACTAGCGTAAAAAAGAGACTTAGAGAAAGTATACCAGGGACCCTCAGAGAAATGGAGATGGTCCATTTGAAGAAATGTCTAGAGCCAGGCTTTGTAGGTGACTGCAGCTGCTCTGTGCACACGCCAGCCCCTTGCTCCCTGCACAGGGCTTCCTTGCTGACTCAGGTTCCTGCTCTTCTGCTCCCCTGACCAGATGAGCTCTGACTCAGCTAACAGCCCCACCTGACCACTGTTCTTCATTCAGATTCTCCAAGGAGAATCCAGATGATCCCTGGCCAGCCTAGTGATGAGGCCCTGTGAGTCAGGGGTTACCTTGCCTGTTCAGCATTTCAGGGAAGACCAAAAGGACTGTGGGGGGCAAATTCATTGCCCCATGCCCACACATACATTATCTCATTTATTCACAAAAAAGCCCATTTTACAGATAAGGAAATGCAAAGTCGAGGAGTCTAAAGTGTATCTTCAGCTATAACAACAAATGAAGTGAAGGTACTGACACATGATGCAGCGTGGAATAACCTGGAAAACATGCTAAGTGAAGGAAGCCGACACAAAAGACCCCATGTGTTACAGTTCCATTTGAAGAAAATGTCTAGAGTAGGCAAATCCATAGAGACAGAAAGCAGATTAGCGATCGCCAGGGGCTGGATGGGAAGCGGGGTGGAAAGGGGGTGCTTCACATGCATGGGCTTTCTTTTAGGGGGTGATAAAAATGCTCTAAAATGGATTGTGGTGAGAGTGGCACAACTCAGTGAATGTACTGAAAACCACGGGTGTGTTTTTCGAATGAGTGACCTGTGTGGAAGGTGAGTGGTATCTCACTAAAGCTGTTATCCAGAGAGAAGCAGAGGTCAACTAAAGGGCTTTCCTCACTGGAAGGTCAACAAAAGCTGAATTCACACTCAGGGCTTGCTCTGCCTGTGCTGTGCCCGGATTCTCAGCCAGCCCTCCTCACCGCTTCCCGCCCCTCGGCCCTTTCCCCTCCACTTACTGTGCCTCCAGTGGAAAACAGCATGGTGCCCTTTTGCCAAGGAAGCCTGGATTTGGCATTGGGATGGGCAGGGCGGTGGTCCTCACCCTCTGCACCATGCCCTCCATATGCCTCCTGCCGTATGCTGCTTTTTCTTATTACATCTTCTTCTCGTTCTTTCTTTTCATTTTTTTTTTTTTTTTTTTGGACAGAGTCTCGCTGTGTCCACCTCTCGGGTTCATGTGATTCTCCTGACTCAGCCTTCTGAGTATCTGGGACTACAAGTGTACACCACCACACCTAGCTAATCTTTGTATTCTTAGTAGAGATGGGGTTTCACCATGTTGACCAGGCTGGTCTCGATCTCTTGACCTTGTGATCCACTGACCTCAGTCTCCCAAAGTGCTGGGATTACAGGCATGAGCTACGGTGCCCAGCCTACATCTTTTTTCTTATGATGAAAGTCAAGCATGTTGTGTGTACTTGTTTTTAACTGACAAGACCAGAAAAGGCTGAGGATGAAAACCATGCATAGTCTCACCACTACTGCAAGTTTGGAATGTGTTTGCTTCCAGTTTCTTCTCCTTAATACGCCTATACGCAACTGAAAATACGGTTTTGGTTTCTTGCCTTCTGGTTTTGTCTGAATGTATTTGTGACTTTCAGTTTTTTCCCTAGATCCCAGAGCCAAGGAGTGTCTAGTTAAGGCTAAAGATTTACTGGTTTTCAGTCCACTGGATGATCTTGTAGTTACGGAAAGTTCGTGAGGCCTATGTATTTCTTATCATTAGTGTCATCAATTTGATTGTTTTGGCGTGCTACCCATTTTCTATGAGAAGAATGTAACAAATATCCAGAGAGTTGCACCAGGCCTGCACAGCTGTGATCTGGGTGAGCAGTCCTGGGGTGTCCCAGCACCAATGGGCAATTCTGTAATCTACCTCATGACGCCACCTTTGCCCACAGGAAGTCTGGAGGTGGGCACCGGGGGTCTCAGCTCACATGTGGGGCTGATATGCAGTTACTATGGGGTCAGCCTGGCTCCCTGCTTCTCCTTGCTCAGAAAACTCCCAAGGAGCTGTTGAGATAGGGATGATGTAGCTGAAACCCAGCTATTGACCCGCAGGTTCAGCGCCATGCAGTGGCTCACAGTGTGCATTCATGAGCTGACGTCATAAAGTCCAGTTAGGACTTGGAAAAGCCAGCGTTCGAACGTGCAGGCTGTATAAGGTGTAATCTTGTACTTGAAGAGCTTCCGGTGAGTCAAGGCCAAAAAACTAACATAGGGAGCAGCAATTCAGCATGAAACTATATTCAGCAGTTGAGTAAAAGTCTAAAAGGGATTTGGAGAATAGGGGAAAGCCTCTTACCGTGGTTTTCAAACATGTTTCCAGTGTATGTGTGTTTCAGACTTTAAAAATATGTTGAGGAAAGGCATATGTTCTGTGGCTCTTCCAAGTTTGCTTGTAACTTGCCTTTTCCTTTACATCAGATGATGAGCATTTTCCTACTTATTAAAACTTCATTAAAAACTTGGCTTTCAATGACTATGCAACAGCCTGTCTTTGGGATGCTGCATGAATATTTATTCACTGACCTCACTGGATTTTTTAGTGTGTCCATAGCATCTGGAACATTTGCTGCCTTTACTCATCTCTTCCCCAACCTGCCACTGGCCCCAGGCTTCCCAGGGATAGAGCCTTAATTTGCCCTTAGGACCCACAGCCTAGCTGTGATGTGACCCAGGTTCTCTAACGATTCAAAGAGTGGACATCTGGCAAGAGGTGTCCCCAGCCAATGCTCAAGAAGTCTCAGGCCAGCAAAATCGTGGCCTCAGTCTGAGGCCAGGGCAAGGCTGAGTCCTTCTTTAGGAGAACTCCTGCAGCAGAGCCAAGGCTTGGTATGCTGAATTTGGGCATTGGACCCCACAGCTTTGCCAACCAAACCACCCGGATTGCAAGACACAGGGTTCCGCTTCTCCTCTGGCCTTGGCGTTCGGCAGGCTGCAGAGAAAGTTACCCACTTCCCTTTTTCTGGAGCATAGAGCCCTGCAATGCCACTGTGGTTCCCAAACAGGCCCCAAGACCCTGGACGCAGCCTTTTAGCTCCTGGCTGCCCCCCCTCCTCGGAGTGGCATTGGCTTTGAGACCTTTGTCCTGCCAGGGTGCAAACCCCAGGCCTGTCTTAAGGCAGGGAAGCTGTTCTCAGTTACCCAGGCCTGGGGCCTATTTCCCTGAACCTATGTCTGCTCTGTTCCTGCCAAAATCCACACCTGAGCAATGGGAAATGTGCCCTTGTGTTCTGTGCCTCATAGACCCATCCTGTCCCATGGCAGGCTGCCCAGCTGGTGCTCCATCCGCCTACAGGGCTCCTCTGCCCTCCTTCCTGCCTCCCTCCTCTCACTGTCTTATCTTTACACATCCTCCCGTGGTTCAGGTTGTCCCAATCTTGCCTTTAAAACTAACCTTGCCTGTGTCCCCTTCCTCAGAGGCCTGACTCTCTGCTCTGGCTAAGCTGATCTACTCATGGGTGCCAAGGGGCTGACCCAGGGCCCCTGCTCTGGGCCAAGCAGGCTTAGGTGCTGGGAAAACTCAGATAGCTGAAGCATTTGACTGCCTTCTGGAAGCTCTGAGTCTGGTGGGAAAGTCAGGCAAAACCGAAGAATTCGAGTCCCACTGATGGTCACTGCTGTCACAGGCACATCATAGCTACAGGAACACAGGCGGGGTGGGTGAGGCCCGAGCACATCAGGGAGGCACCGCCGGACAGGTCACATTCGGCCCGAGCCTCGAAAGATGAGTAAGCATTTGCCAGGTGAAGAGGGAGGGAAAATAATTCCATACAGAGGTAATAGCATTGGCCAAGACCCGGTGATGGGGCCACATGTGGCATGTTGAGGAAGAAGTGAACAGCAGATAGCGTGGGGTGAAGACTCGGCAGATGGTGCCGGAAAAGATGTGCAGGGGCCAGATCCTGCAGCCTTGTATGCCAGGCTAAAGGGCTGAGAGTGATTCTCAACAGAGAGCCACCCAGGGCCTGCCATACGCCCAGCCTAGGACCGCAGGAGGAGAATGGAGCAGAGGGGACCACTATAACTATGATCTGGGGGAGCAGTTGTGGGGTATCCCGGCACCAATGGGCAGTTCTGTATGTTATCTACCCCATGACACCACCTTTGCCCACAGGAAGAGTCTGGAGGTGGGCACCAGGGGTCTCAGCTCACATGTGGGGCTGCTGCTCAGTTACCGTGGGGTCAACCCAGCTGCCTGCTTCTCCTTGCCAGGAAAACTCCCAAGGGGCCAACTTAGTTGGGCCTGTGTAGACATGGGCACAGTGCTTCAAACACTCCAGAGGCTTAAACATGTATGTACTCAAGGCAAGGTGCCTGGGAGAGTGAGGCATTCATGGAGGAGCCAGGAACTGCCCAAGAAAGTCTCCCAGACCAGGCCCTGGGAGAGGCCGCTCTGGATACTGTGACCTCGGTGACGGTGATGGGCACAGAACTTTGCACATTGGAAAGAGTCACAGGAAAGGTTGTCGTGCTTGTTAATGTGATGACAGCTGGCATCTCTCCCCTGGCTATGATATTCAGGTGGCCAGGCAGAGGGTATCTGCCCAGGACAGGGCTGGGGGTTGCACCTCAGACAGATGCACACAACTGGTGGGCCGCAGCTCACTTCCATTCTGTTTCTTCAGTCCTTTTGTCCTGGGAAAGCACTCGCTTGCCCTGACTGCATTGGTGTCCCCTGGCCAGCAAGGTGGCGAATGCCTATATCCTTGATAGTGCCCACCTCTTAGAGCAAGCATGTGCTCAGCTGCTCCAGGCCATCTTGTGAGGTCTCCTTGCAACATCAAGAGCCTGTTGTGTTGTTGCCACATCCTCAGTTCTGGGCTGCAAGCCTCCCTGCTCCTTACCGATGCCAGGAGAGCAACCGCCATGGGAAGTGGCGCAAGTTCCTGTGGAGGAAGGCTGCCTAACACACAGGCTCAACGCACAGGACACAGGCGTAGAACCAGCTCGACCTGCCAGATCCCCGCGCCTCACTCCCCAACCCAGTGACGGGGCAGGGGCAAGTGCTTTCATGTTTCTGAGCCTCTTACCCTCATCTGTGAACTGGGAGTAAGGCCTGTGATCGGGTGGGTGAGATAACCCAGGTAAAGCAAGTAGCGCATAGGCTCACCCACAGCAAGAACGCCATGAACGTTCGCTCCTCTGATTATCCTCCATGTCATTTTTCATATTTTCTTAAGGGTGAATTCCTCCCAGGAGTAAAGAGTCCTGGGTGAAAGGCTGGCCCACCAATTCACAAGGAACACTGCACCTGCCTGGGTAATCCCCTGTCCAGCTCCCAACCGAGCAGGCTGAACAAGACCTGGGACCCACGTTCCTCTCAGGAGGAAGCTCTAGTGAGCGCAGGGTGGGCTGTGCGCCGACGGCAATTGTGATACGGCCAGATGTGGCATCTCTGTGCCCTTTTTGGAGGGTCCTAAGCCTCTGTCAGATGCTTGGCAGGGTGTGGTCCCCACCAATCAAGAATGCCTGTCCCTAGCCTGCTTTGGTGGCCAAAGCCATGGCTGAGCCCCCAGGGACTGGGTCGGCAGAGAGGCACACACTGCAATGCAGCTCCGTGGTACAGGAGCCTTGGCTTCCCCTGACTGGGCAGAGGACCAGCTTCTTCTTTTAATCTAGAGATTGGCTGGAGTCAAAATCACTTTGTGGAAGGTAGGTGCTCCCTACTTGGACAGCCGGGTCTGATCTCGCCGGCCACAATCCATAGGCTCGTTCTTCCTGCATGTAATGATCATGGAGGCCAAAAAAGGACCAAAGTTCCTTCCTCCTCACACGCCTGGGATGTGTGTACTGTTGTGACCCCATTTTAGGGATGGCTAGACTGAGGCCTGGGAGGATCAGGCCACCTGTCCCAGAGCACCCAGCTGGTTGGCTGCAGGAACTCCAGGACCTCTGTCCCCTGTGTCCTCAGCATGCCTTCCCCACAGCTCCAGAGCACAGTGTTGTCACCCCCCACCCTGCGTCATCAGTGCCCTCTGAGGTGGGCTCTCAGATCCAGGAAGAGAACTGAAGCTGAGCCTGTCACAGCACCGCCCCCCCCCCCGCCCAGCCCCGCCCCACCCCGCTTCACACTGCTGGGGAGGACCCAGCGGGGCTTCCCCTCTGGAGGCAGGAAGTGGTGGGAGAGGTTTAAAAGCGTCCAAGAGGGGAAAACAACCCGCGGAGTAGTGAAGCAAGTACCTTGAACAGCCCTCCCACGGCCCTGCCCCACTCCACCCGTAGGCCCCTCCCACAGACCCCACCCACCACAGCAACCCTGGTGCCTGGTCCGGACTGACCACCTGCCCCTTTCTTGCTTCCACAGGCTTCTGGGACTCCTCGCTGAATCCTCCACGAGAAAGAGGGAAGCCAGGAGAGCCCCCAAGAGACCGCGCCCCCGGATCGCCCCCAGTCTCCAGCCTCAGGCCCACAGCCCATGACGCAAACTGTGCCTGTGAAATCGAGCTCGCGGTAGGAAATGACCGCCTGTGGTTTGTGAATCCTGTTTTCATCGAGGACTACAGCAGTGCCCTGCCCACTGACCAGCCACCTCTTGGAAACTGCCCTGCACACCCCTTGCCACCCCCCTCTAATGCTACCTCGCCCACCTCCAGGTGGGCCCCACGCCGCCCACCGCCCCCTCCCCCAGCGCTGCCCCTCCAGCCCTCCAGCCCAGCCCATCCCCCTCTGCTTCCTGCACCTGCCCCCACCCGGGTCTGTCCTTTGCCCAGCTCTCCCCCTGTGCCTGCCCCCCACGTCACACCCCATGCCCCAGGTCCCCCAGATCATCTGAGCCAGCCACCCATGACAGCCTGCGAGAGACTTCCATGCCCCACCGCAGGCCTGGGCCCCATCAGGGAGGAAGCCATGAAGCCAGGGGCAGCCTCCAGCCCCTTGCAGCAAGCCCCCGCCCCACCACTGCCAGCGAAGAAGAACCTTCCCACTGCCCCTCCCAGACGACGCATTTCCGAGAGGGTGTCCTTAGAAGACCGAAGTGCAGGGATGGCAGCAGAGGGGGACCAGCTCAGCCTGCCTCCCCAAGGGACCTCAGGCAGCCCTGAGGACATGCCCCAGGGTAGCACAGAACAAGGCCAGGAAACAGAGGTGAAAGCCAGCGACCCCGACAGCATGCCAGAGCTACCCAGGAAGACCAAACAACCCCCAGTCCCACCGCCCAGGAAAAAACGGATCTCTCGACAACTGGCCTCAGCCCTCCCAACTCCCTTAGAGAGCGCCGAGCTCCGCACACAGGAGATGGCCTTGGAGACACCCATGCCAGGTCCACCCAGAGATGGCCAAAGCCCTGCCCCGCAGGCTGGGACTCAGCACCCCCATGCCCCAGCTGCTGCCCATGCCCAGAGCTCTCCAGAGTTCAAGGGCTCTCTGGCCTCCCTCTCAGACAGCTTGGGGTTGCCTGCCACGGCCGCTGACCAGGACTCCTACTCGACCAGCAGCACAGAGGAGGAGCTGGAGCAGTTCAGCAGCCCCAGCGTGAAGAAGAAGCCCTCCATGATCCTGGGAAAGGCGCGGCACCGGCTGAGCTTCGCCAGTTTCAGCAGCATGTTCCATGCTTTCCTCTCCAACAACCGCAAGCTATACAAGAAGGTGGTAGAGCTGGCGGAGGACAAGGCCTCGTACTTTGGCAGCCTGGTGCAGGACTACAAGGTGTACAGCCTGGAGATGATGGCGCGCCAGGCCTCCAGCACAGAGATGCTGCAGGAGATCCGCACCATGATGACCCAGCTCAAGAGCTACCTGCTGCAGAGCACCGAGCTCAAGGTCCTGGTGGACCCTGCCCTGCACTCCGAGGAGGAGCTCGGTCAGTGCCCTGGGAGGAGGTGGCAGGGAGGAGAGGGCGGTGGGGCTCATAGACTCAGGAACCCTTAGGACAAGAGAGGCCTATGCAGCGGATGCTGTTGGTGCCCACCTCCCATCCCCTTTCCTGGGCACCAGCACCTTTCTCCAGCTGCTGCAAGGTAGCCTGGTAATGGTGCATGGCTCTCCCCTTTCCTAGAGAATTGACCTTGGCTGAATAGGATCTATATTATCTGCACCCTGTCTTCCACCACCAGGGGCCCACTGCCCATTACTCCCTGCCATGTGGGAACAGAGACTGGCCCCTTTGCCTCAAGCAGGACCACTGCGTGATGCAGTTTATGCTCCAGGGCCTGGTGAGATCCGGCTGAGACTCACAGATCATCCTTGCTCAAGCTTGCTCTGCGGCTCCCCACTGCTCTCACGCCCTGTCTTCTGAGTATCTTCACCGTGAAATCACACACACCCAGATCCCACTTTCAGGCTCTGCTTTCAGGGAACCAGCCCAAAACAGCTCACTCCTCTGACCACCCCTTCTAAAGTAGTCCCCAGCCTTGCCCACCCTCACCAGCCTTGAGTCCAATAATTATCAAAGCTTTTTAGGATTGTGGTTCCCAGGGAGAAGTAGTTGTGATCAACCATATACCTATGTATATTAAAAATATTCAGACCAGGCACAGTGGCTCAAGCCTGTAGCCACAGTGCTCTGGGAGGCCAAGTCAGGAGGATCGGTTGAGCCCAGAAGTTCGCGACCAACCTGGGCAACATGGCAAAATCCCGTCTTTACAAAAGATGCAAAATTAAGCCAGGTGTGGAGGCACGCGCCTGTAGTTCCATCTACTTGGGAGGCTGAGGCAGGAGAATTGCTTGAGCCCAGGAGGCCGAGGCTGCAAAGAACCAGCATTCCACCACTGCACTCCAGTCTGTGTGACAAAGCGAAACCTTGTCTCAAAAAGAAAAAAAAATAATACATTCTGTCAGCTCGCACTGCTTGGCCAAAGTGGTTGCTAAACACTTAGCTGCTTCTGAGCTAGTTGGTAAACGGTCCCCTGACTTCCCTAAGCCTCTCCTTCCCCACCCGGTCATGAAAGTCTGTGCTGGGCACAGTAAGGGACATGTGGGGCTCTGAGCACAGATTCATAGTGAATGTTTCTTAGAAAAGGAGCTTTGGGTGTTCCTTTCCAGGGCTTCTGGATTTTGCTCGCAGACTCCTGAAAACTGATAGGTTTGCCAGGCCACAGGATTAATGGTGGCATTTCAGGCGTGGTGAAGGGTGGTAGGATTGAGACCTGAGGCCAGTGCTGTGTGTGTGTGCCCAGGCCCCTGCAAGCAGATAGTCGACAAAGAGTTATTGGGTACCCGACTGCATCAGGTGCTGGCTCAGATCTAGAGACAGAGGTGAGCAGGTTCCTGCCTGCAGGGAGCTTACAGTCTAGCAGGGGTGACAGGCAATCTGCAAGAAGGATGAGTAGGGCCGGGTGCAGTGGCTCATGCCTGTAATCCCAGCACTTTGGGAGGCTGAGGCAGGCAAATCACGTGAGGTCAGGAGTATGAAACCAGCCTGGCCAACATGGTGAAACCCCGTATCTACTAAAAATATAAAAATTAGCTGAGTGTGGTGGCACACGCCTGTAATCCCAGCTACTTAGGAGGCTGAGGCAGGAGAATCGCTGGAACCTGGGACGCGGGGGTTCCAGTGAGCTCAGATTGTGGTGCTGCACTCCAGCATGGGCGACAGAACGAGACTTTGTCTCAAAAAAATAAAAATTAAATTAAAAAAAAACAAATACAAAAATCAGCTGGGCATGGTGGCGTGCACCTGTAATCCCAGCTACTCAGGTGGCTGAGGCAGGAGAATAGCTTGAACCCTGGAGGCAGAGGTTGCAGTGAGCCAAGATTGTGCCACTGCCCTCCAGCGTGGGCAACAGAGCAAGACAAGAAGCAAGGAAGGAAGGAAGGAAGGGAGGGAGGGAGAGGGAGGGAGGGAGGGAGGGAGGGAGGGAGGAAGGAAGGAAGGAAGGAAGGAGAAAGAAAGAGAAAGGAGAGAAAGAGGGAAGGAAGGAGGGAGGTCAGGAGGGAGGAAGGGAGGGTGGGAAGAAAGAAGGAAGGCAGGCAGACAGAACTATGACATGTAATTAGTGAGGACATGTGGATGGGAGTGAGGTCAGGAGGCTGTTGGGGGCAAGACCCCTAGGACCTTGTGAGCCTCCCTGTAGACCTGGCTTTTCCTGTACGTGAGATGGGGTCATGCAGGGTTCACGTCCAAGGGTGGGTGATCTTACTCACATGTGAACAGCAGAGAAACTCAGACTCAGTGTGAGGCCACTGCTGTCACAGCCGAAGTGAGCAGTGAAGGTGGCTGGGACCAGGCCAGAGGCAGCACAGATGGGGAGACGTGGTTGGGTTCTGGGCCTGTTGTGACGCTGGAGCCTGGATGTGGGAGTGGGAGAGGGGAGGTAGGATGTGTCCAGGCAATGTTGTCCCTGGGAGGACAGCATCCATTCTGGGGCAGGCACTGGGGATAAGTTGAGGAGCTTGGTTTGGGACATGTGACAGTGGAGATGCTTATTAGACACCAGGTGGGGAGGTTGAGCGGGCCATAGAGGGCTGAGTCTGCAGTTCTGGGGCTAAAGAGAGCTGTCTGGGAAGTGTCAGCCCAAAAGGAGCCATGAGACTGGATGAGATCATCTGGGTCTGAGGACTGAGCCCCAGGCACCATGTAGACCAGGAGGGCATGGAAGGGCATGAGAGGACATGGAAGGACATGGAAAACTCAAAGTGGCCCAGAGGAGGCTCTGGTCAGCCTTGCCTTCCAGTGTTGGGGGAGTGTAAGAACTGAGGCCCAAGGGAGGAGTCAGGGGTGCTGAGCCATGGAAAGGGTGGTGAAGTACTTTTCTTCTGGAAAGAGATGACAACATGGACAAAGGCACAGAGGTGGGGAATGAGGCTGGAGGGTCACGGGCCATTCACACAGGCAGTGAAAGTCAGCCTGAGGATTTGGCCCAGAGGTGATGGAGCCCCCGCAGGGTGTGTGTGGAGGGCAAAGCAGAGGGAATGAAATGGGGACTGCTCAGGAGACTGGGGTAGGGCAAGGCTAGTACCCCGTGGCCTTCAGCAGAGAAAAGGAGGTAGAGCCAAGCTGGAAACAGCAGGAGTGACTCCAGCCTCAGGGCAGCCGGCTGGCAGGATGGAGATATACCATGGGTCCTGTTAAGCCCAACTCTGCCTTGGGCATCAGATGCCAAAAGGTGCTAGACTTAGAGTTTGTCCTGGCAGGTGATGTGGCAGAGTGTCACCAGTGCCTGTCGTGGCACAAATGTGTGAGGCAGAGAGGTTTCCAGGCAGCGGGAGGTGGCAGCTGAGCTGAGCCACCAAGGACAGGGAGGGCTGGCTCTGCAGAGATGGGGAGAAGGGCCCTCCAGAGGGCGGGAACAAGGTCAGCTCCACAGCAAGTGTCATTCCAGACACTGCACGTGCCAGCCTCATGACTGCAAACCAGATCCGATGGGCTTGGCTATTATTGTGCCCAAGAAGCCACAGCTAAGAGAGGTTTAGTGACCTAGCCACGAGGACAGAGCTGGTAGCAGCGCTGGGCTTGAGACCCACGCAACCCTGCCTTTTCCATGAGCTGAGTGCTCTGCCTCTGCCTCTTCCTTCTGAGCTCTGCCCATGTGAACAGTCAGATGGTAGAGGAACTTAAACCACATAAAAGGCTGGACAGGGCTGGGCACGGTGGCTCACAGCTGTAATCCCGACACTTTGGGATGCCGAGGAAGGTGGATTACTTGAGGTCAGGAGTTCGAGACCAGCCTGGCCAACATGGCAAAACCCCATCTCTACAAAAAATACAAAAATGAGCTGGGTGTGGTGGTGGGCGCCTGTAATCCCAGCTACTCAGGAAACTGAGGCACGAGAATCACTTGAACCGGGGAGGTGGAGGTTGCAGTGAGCCAAGATCGCGCCATTGCACTCCAGCCTGGGCAACAGAACTATCTCAAAAAAGAGAGAGAAAAAAAGGCTGACAGAACTCCATGCTTAGGGTGCTTCTGGTTTTATTAGGGAGACATGTCACAAGGAACAGTTGGAGCAAAACAGTCCTAGCGTATGGCTGCTGAGGGCATGAGTCTGAGGGAGAGGAGGTGCCAGGAAGAGAACCTGCAGCTCTTAGATGTGAAGGGGCCAGGAGGGCATGGGCACAGCCCTCTCATTTTGCAGTTCAGGAAACAGGCCCTGGGAGGGGAGGGGACTTGGCCAAGGCCATGCAGAAGCCCCGGACAGTGGGGAAGTGCAAGCCCCTGCTCCCGGGTCAACTCCATCTGCTCCCATCTCTACCTATGGAGGCTCCAAGGACAATGAGGTCGGGAGGTGGGTGTGGAAGGAGGGTCAGGAGTGGGCTGAGGGAGGTGAGGGCAGCCCTGTGTTCTGCCGAAGGGGAAGAGGGAGGCAGCAGCAAGGGACCAGGATGGCCATGGGTTAGCCATGGGGAATCAGTGGTCTCTGTTGAGACCCAGCCCCAGGGGAACATGAGTCCCTCCCTCTCCCAGGTCTGGGGCAGCCCAGGTGTCTCCCTCCGGGAACAGGACTTGAGACCTCCCTTACTGGGAACATAGCCAAGACCCATCCCCTGGAGACAGAGCAGAGCCAAAACAACTTCCTGAGATTATGTTCCTACAGTCACCCAAAGCAACGGAGCGTCCCTTGGTGTCAGGTAGACATGAGTTCAAGTCCTCCTTCAACCCCCAACCTACCTCCTGAGACCCTAAGTTGGTCCATCTTCAGAGTGGGGATCAGAGCAGCTACAAGATCAGAGCACCAACTCCTGCTCCAAGAGCAGATCTGACTGCTTGTCAGATAGGACGGCATTCAAACAGTGAAGGAACCAGCCGTGTGGACAGCTGCAAGGCCACTGTGCCATGCAAAGCAAACTGCAGGAGCAAAGGCCCTGGGGCAGGAGCAGGCCTGGCAGTTGATGGAACAGCCTGAGCTCGGGGAGCAAGCAAAGCAATGAGTGAACGGCCACAGGGCTCGATCACAGCAGGGCCTCATAGGCCATGGCGAGGCTTTGGCTTTCATCTGCTTGCATGGGAGGTGGGGGCCATTGGAGGTTTCCAAACAGAAGAATGTCATGATCAAAGATATCATAACAGGACAGTACCCGCTGCTGTGTTGAGAAGGGATGTAAGGGCCAGGGCAAAAGCCGACTGACATAACCCAGGCAAGAGATGATGGCAGTAGCCTGAACAACCCAGGTCAAGGTAGTACCCATGAAAGTGATAAAAAATCAGGTTCCGGGCTGGGTGTGATGGCTCACACCTGTAATCCCGGTACTTTGGGAGGCTGAGGCGGGTGGATCATGAGGTCAGGAAATCGAGATCATCCTGGCCAACATGGGGAAACCCCAACTCTACTAAAAATACAAAAATTAGCTCTACTTGGTGGCTCGCTCCTGTAGTCCCAGCTACTGCAGAGGCTGAGGCAGGAGAATCGCTTGAACCCGGGAGGTGGAGGTTGCAGTGAGCCGAGATTGCACCACTGCACTCTAGCCTGGCGACAGAGGGAGTCTTTGTCTCAAAAAAAAAAAAAAAGGTCAGGTTATGGATATACTGTATTTTTGAGACTAGCGTCAAGTGGGTTTTGGAATTGGAAGGGAGATGTCAAGAATAATTCCACCAGTCATTTACTGGACATTCAGGCCATGAGCTTACAGCTGCCCAGGTTGTACTCTGCACAACTCCAGTATAAATAGCACCCTCTGAAGTTATGTACTCATAGGCATCCCTGTGAGAGTTTGCTCTCTACCAGGCCCTGTGAAAAGCATCAGGATACAATGACCAGGTAGCATGAGGCCCCAGGGGCTCCTGTGCCAGTGCCTCTCCAGTATGGCTTTCTGTTGAATATACTACGCTCTCGTGTGTCAGAACCACAGGGTGTAACTGCTGGGGCTGTGCATGTCCTTCCAGGGGCCAGGGGATGGGGATGCTGTGCTCTTGGGCAGCAGAACCAGGTGTCAGGATCCCTGCTTCTGGTTTCCTCACCCTTGCTCTCTTGTTCACCTGCAGAAGCAATTGTAGAGTCCGCCTTGTACAAATGTGTCCTGAAGCCCCTGAAGGAAGCCATCAACTCATGCCTGCATGACATCCACAGCAAGGACGGTTCGCTGCAGCAGCTCAAGGAGAACCAGCTAGTGATCCTGGCCACCACCACCACCGACCTAGGTGTGACCACCAGTGTGCCAGAGGTGCCTGTCATGGAGAAGATCCTGCAGAAGTTCTCCAGCATGCACAAGGCCTACTCACCAGAGAAGAAGATCTCCATCCTGCTCAAGACCTGCAAACTCATCTACGACTCCATGGCTCTCGGCAACCCAGGTCAGTGGGCAGCCCGCAGGGGTCTGGGCGAGGAGCTCTCTTTGTATGGGTCCATGACCCCTCCCTGACAGGGACTCTAGAGCTCTTGGAAGGCGGCAGACTTCCCAGATTCAGGTCAACCTTGGGGAGGAACTAGGGGTGGGTGGGGGTGCAATTCCTGGGCCCTCTAAGAGTTACCTAGGGACTGGGAGGAGAGCCATAATTGGCAGCTGCCCTGGAGGCAAGTGAGGAAGCCAGCCCATACCTTAACTTTGTGTGAATTAGGAAAAGCATGGTGTTAGTTTCCTAGGGCTTTGGAAACAATACCACAAGCTGAGTGGCTTAACCAGTAGAAGTGTATTGTCTCAGTTTTGGAGGCTGGAAGGTTCAAGATCAAGGTGCAGGCAAGGCTGGGCTCCTTCTGAAGATGCTAGGGAAGGTTCTGTTCCTTCCGAGCTTCTGGTAGCTCCTTGGCTTGTGGCCACAGAACTCTGATCTTCATGTGGTGTGCTTGCTGTGTGTGCGTCTGTGTTCCCGTTTCCTCTTTCCATAAGAAGGCCAGTCACATAGGATTAGGGGCTCACCCTTCCCCAGTATGACTTCATCTCAGCTCATTACAGCCACAAAGACTCTATTTCCAAATAAGGTCACAGTCTTAGGTACTGAGGGTTAAGACTTCAACATATAAATTTTGAGGGGCCACAATTCAACCCCTAACAGGGGCCCTAAACAATTAGCATTGATTTGACTCCTAAGTCCATGGGGCATGGACCACTATCTGATCTTGGTCAGCCGTGCCTGAGCTTGAGGGGGCTTACTTATGGGTCTGTGGTCAGAGGTGGGTCAGTTGGAGGCCAGCTAGTCTGGGATGGCCTTGCTCACATGCTGGGTGGGTAGTTGGCTGTTGGCTGGTCTAGGATGGCCTTGCTCACATGCTGGGTGGTAGGTTGGCTGTTGGCTGGTCTAGGATGGCCTTGCTTACATGCTGGGTAGTTGGTTGGCTGTTGGCTGGTCTGGGATGGCCTTGCCCACATGCTGGGTGGGTGGTTGGCTGTTGGCTGGTCTGGGATGGCCTTGCCCACATGCTGGGTAGTTGGTTGGCTGTTGGCTGGTCTGGGATGGCCTTGCCCACATGCTGGGTGGGTGGTTGGCTGTTGGCTGGTCTGGGATGGCCTTGCCCACGTGCTGGGTGGGAGGTTGGCTGTTGGCTGGTCTGGGATGGCCTTGCTCACGTGCTGGGTGGGTGGTTGGCTGTTGGCTGGTCTGGGATGGCCTTGCCCACGTGCTGGGTGGGAGGTTGGCTGTTGGCTAGTCTAGGATGGCCTTGCCCATGTGCTGGGTGGGTAGTTGGCTGTTGGCTAGTCTAGGATGGCCTTGCTTACATGCTGGGTAGTTGGTTGGCTGTTGGTTGGTCTGGGATGGCCTTGCTCACGTGCTGGGTGGGTGGTTGGCTGTTGGCTAGTCTAGGATGGCCTTGCTTACATGCTGGGTAGTTGGTTGGCTGTTGGCTGGTCTGGGATGGCCTTGCCCACATGCTGGGTGGGAGGTTGGCTGTTGGCTGGTCTAGGATGGCCTTGCTTACATGCTGGGTAGTTGGTTGGCTGTTGGCTGGTCTGGGATGGCCTTGCCCACATGCTGGGTGGGAGGTTGGCTGTTGGCTGGTCTAGGATGGCCTTGCTTACATGCTGGGTAGTTGGTTGGCTGTTGGCTGGTCTGGGATGGCCTTGCCCACATGCTGGGTGGGAGGTTGGCTGTTGGCTGGTCTAGGATGGCCTTGCTTACATGCTGGGTAGTTGGTTGGCTGTTGGTTGGTCTGGGATGGCCTTGCCCACATGCTGGGTAGTTGGTTGGCTGTTGGCTGGTCTGGGATGGCCTTGCTCACGTGCTGGGTGGGAGGTTGGCTGTTGGCTGGTCTAGGATGGCCTTGCTTACATGCTGGGTAGTTGGTTGGCTGTTGGCTGGTCTAGGATGGCCTTGCCCACATGCTGGGTAGTTGGTTGGCTGTTGGCTGGTCTGGGATGGCCTTGCCCACATGCTGGGTAGTTGGTTGGCTGTTGGCTGGTCTAGGATGGCCTTGCCCACGTGCTGGGTAGTTGGTTGGCTGTTGGCTGGTCTGGGATGGCCTTGCTCACGTGCTGGGTGGGAGGTTGGCTGTTGGCTGGTCTGGGATGGCCTTGCCCACGTGCTGGGTAGTTGGTTGGCTGTTGGCTGGTCTGGGATGGCCTTGCTCATGTGCTGGGTGGGAGGTTGGCTGTTGGCTGGTCTGGGATGGCCTTGCTCACGTGCTGGGTGGGTGGTTGGCTGTTGGCTGGTCTGGGATGGCCTTGCCCACGTGCTGGGTGGGAGGTTGGCTGTTGGCTGGTCTGGGATGGCCTTGCTCACGTGCTGGGTGGGAGGTTGGCTGTTGGCTGGTCTGGGATGGCCTTGCTCACGTGCTGGGTAGTTGGTTGGCTGTTGGCTGGTCTGGGATGGCCTTGCTCACGTGCTGGGTGGGTGGTTGGCTGTTGGCTGATCTGGGATGGCCTTGCCTATATGCTGGGTGGGAGGTTGGCTGTTGGCTGGTCTGGGATGGCCTTGCTCACGTGCTGGGTGGGTGGTTGGCTGTTGGCTGATCTGGGATGGCCTTGCCTATATGCTGGGTGGGAGGTTGGCTGTTGGCTGGTCTGGGATGGCCTTGCTCACGTGCTGGGTGGGAGGTTGGCTGTTGGCTGGGCTGGGATGGCCTTGCTCACGTGCTGGGTGGGAGGTTGGCTGTTGGCTGGTCTGGGATGGCCTTGCCTATATGCTGGGTGGTTGATTAGCTGTTGGCTGTTCTGGGATGGGGATGATTGAGCCACGAGTTTCTCATCCTCCAGCAGATTAGCACAGGCATGTGCCCATGGCAGTAGGGCCCATTGAGGCCCGGCCCTGAACGTGTGTGACATCACTCTCACACCTTTCATTGACTTGTTTAGGCACAAGACCATCCCAGACTCCAGAATTGAGGAACATTCTCCCTCTTGATGGAAAGAATACAAAGGCACATTGTAAAGGGTGTGGATGTGGGGAGGGGAATCCCCGGGACCATTTGTAATCATTTGACTTTTGACTGCAGTCCCCCAGGCAAACAAGAGCAGGCCTCACTGGGGCACAGCTCAATGAAGAGAAAGCTGGCAGAATTCCTTCCTTCAGCTGATGCCCTTGTGCAGTGAGCAAACCGTGTACCTGGACAGGGCTGCCATGGTAACAGAGAGTGGATGGATAAGCCACCTCTGTAGACTCACAGATGTGGGTTCAAATTCCTGGTCCATCACTTACTATCTGTTTCACCTCGAATGATTTACTTAACTCCTTAGAGCCCAATTTCCTCACCTGAGGAAGCTGCTTTATAGAGAGGGTCCCTAAGACCCCTAATGGTTTGGAAGCCATACTCAGTCACCTGTGAGTATTAGAAACGATGCATTGAAATGATGGCCTCCATGCACAGCACCCGGCAGGCTCAACACACATGGTTGTGTTAGGAGACGAGTCTCTTCGTCTCCCCTGGAGAAGGGCAAACCAGTTTGGCCATCGACCAACAGAAAGCAATTGTGGGATGTGATGGGGTGGTGCCAGACCCCCTCACCCGAGAAACCTTTCCTCTTCGATCTGGTATGGGCCACAATTCCAGGTTGGAGTCCATTTTGTGTCAAACTGATTTGTGTCCCACAAACATATCTTAGAATTGTGTACCCTGAAAGCAGACACCATACCGAGGCAAATTCCATATTTACACGTCATTCAGCCTGATGTTGGAGATGTGATGGGAAGAGCAAGAGTTGTAGTAGAACCAGAATGTAGTGATGTGTTTGTTTCCACAGAGTGGACATTAGGCTCAAAGGTCGGGTATCTTGTGCAGCCTGGAGCTCGGAGAACAGGCCCAGGATGTGAACTCCACAACTGAGTAACCTCCAGGAAAATCGCCAAAAGAAGTAGGTGGGGGGCAGCAGGCAGCCTGCAGAGCCCAGAGCTCTCTGCAAATTTGACCTGGTCAGCCCCAGAGGGCTGGCACCCAGGGAAAGAGTCAAGTATGCCCTGCCAGGCAACATGAGACGGAGGGTTAAGACCCTCTTGTGGCCTGGCAAAGGGTGTCCGAGAACAAGCCGGGCCTTCTCGAGCCTTCTCAGAGAGAGGCATTCCTGGATCTCTCTGCAGTAGCAGGGGCCGGGGAGGGAAGCAGGCTGAGATGTGTCCTACGAGGCTTGCAGGGGATCAAGGCAGAAAGGAGACAGAGCCGCGGGGGACCCTCTGCTGGGAACAGCCTCTGGGAGAGCAGGCAGACTGGCCCTGGGACCCTGTGGGGACATGGAAGAGCAAGGTCCAGGCTTCCTTGCCGGTTCTGCCGCTTCTCGGCTTGTGGCTGTGTTCAGATGACTTAGGTGCTCAGCCTCAGTTTCCTCTTGTGTTCAATAGGCACAGCCACAACCGCCTTGCAGACCTGTCTTGAGGTTTAGACGAGTCTGAAGTTTGCATGTTGCCCAGCTGCTGGCACTTAGTCACAATAGCTATTGATTGGTTTCAATACTGAGTTTCTAATAGGGAAACTGTTTCCCCTGGGACTTGTTGGACTTGGTGGTAAAAGTCAGGGCCAAGAGTTTTACAGACCCTGAGACATGATCAGGAAGACAGCTTTGGGCTGGAAAGGGCACTTCCATTCTTGAGGCGTCCCAGTTTATCCAGAAACCCCTGGCTTCCTGGAATTCTTTTTAAAACCCCATGAGGGAGCAGCAGCATTAAAAAAAACATGATATATTTTTTTTTTAGACAGGGTCTCATTCTGTCACTCAGACTTAAGGACAGTGGCACGACCCCCCAAGCTCAAGCAGTCATCCCTCCTTAGCTTCCTCAGTAGCTGGGACTACTACACCTGGCTAATTTTTGTGTTTTTTGTAGAGATGGGGTTTCACCATGTTGCCCAGGCTGGTCTCAAACTCCTGAGCTCAAGCAATTTGCTTGCCTCAGCCTCCCAGAGTGCTGAGATTACAGGTGTGAGCCACCACACC